AGAACTTCACTTGCTGTTCTTCTACAGGACCTGGCTTTTATTCCCAGCAACCACATGGCAACTCCCAACCATGTGTAACTCCAGTTCCAGTAGAGTCAATGCCCTCTTCTGGCCTCTGCAGGCACAATAGAGGCAAAAACATCCATACACATCAAAAAAGAAAGACTTGGGGCTAGGAACTTCAGCACCATAAAATGAGACATTGAAAAGGCAGAATAAAATTTAAAATGAAATTATGGCTTCATTAATAAAAAATGGCAGTGTATACAATGAGCAAAAGAATAAAATTAATTTTAAAAATCCACTACAAACAATAAATTATTATTAGGACAGATTTGAACAGAAAAGATAAGGTTCTCTAAAGCAAAATAGTTAGTTCTCAGTAATTTCAGAGAGGTCTCAAATGCCTCTTCTCCATTGCTCCACTACTAGTATAAAATGGCTAGCTCTTCAGAAAAGCAAATTTTAATTACAAATACTTGGCCACAACTACTAATGCAACTATTTGAAAGCTTCAAATTTCAGAACCTTCCAGCTTTCAGACTAGAGATGTTTAAGTCTATGCATAGTTCAAAATCTAAAAATCCTGCAACTTCAACACTTAGGATCCCAAGCATTTTCAAACAAAAGGACCTTTGATATTGACACAGGGTGTCACGTAGCCCAGAATGACCTTAAATTTCTGACCTGCTGCTTCACCGACTGAGAAGCAGATTATAGTGCAACATCCCTACACGCAGTTTATGGAAGCAGGGGATCAACCCTAGGGCTTGCATGTGGTAAGCAAGGGCTCTGTATTCTCAGGACCCTTCAATCTCTAAAGGCATTAAAACACAATAAAAAATTCACTCACTGCAATGCAATCAGTTGTGTGAAATTCATGTCATTCTTTGGTAGTTATTTCAATGCTTGGAGAGAAGAGGCTAAATAAATATTTGTGGAGAAGAAATCATACTTATTAAAAAAGAAAAAGGTCAAGAAAACACCTCGATAAGGAGGAAATGCAGACAAACTGCCAACCTTGGAAGGTTATACATGTATTTTATTCATGGAAAGAATGTCTCCAACTGGCTGCAGCCTGTTCACCAGAAACTGCTATCCCAGACTGCCCATGCTTAGCCCCAGCATATCTCCACGGCAGGATGCTCACTCCCACTCACTCTGCAGGGCTCACACTCAGGCCAAGGCCCATTCCCACACTAAGACTAGACCCCATTTTAAAATGACTACAACACTCGCCACACACTTTTAGGACAAGGAACTCAGATTTGTTGTGGCAGACAAGAACCACAGCAACAGAAATAGGAGGGTATGGATAAAGCAACTTCTGTTCTCAACCCTGAAGATAAGGGGGCAAGCTCTGAAGGACAGAAGCTAAAAATGACCAACCATTAAGAAATGGTTTCCTGCTCCCACAACCATCACCCCTTCTGAGACAAGGTCTCTCTGTGTGGCCCTGGCTGCTCTGGAACTCACTCTGTAGACCAGGCTAGCCTCCAACTCTCATCTGCCTGGCCCTGCCTCCTGAGTGTTGGATTAAAGGCCCACGCGCAGCCTCACATTATGCTTGAGTTTCATGAGTACCCCACACTTCCTTTACCTCCTTGAATAGTGAGGTACTAACCTCATTTACAGACAAACGAAACTGACAGAAGGCCAAGAGATAAAGGCCCTCGGTCTTCTTCATTCCAACAACAAGAATTCTGTGTCAGTAGCATGATGTTTTCATTATTTACACTCAAGAAAACTTGCTTTGGACCTGCCAGGTGTGGCCATACACACCCAGCACTTGGCAGTCAGAAGCAGGTGGTTCTCTGAGTTCAAGGCTAGCCTGAGCTATAAAGAATAGAGTTCCAGAACAGCCAGGGCTATATAGAAAGACCCTGTCTCAAAAGGGGAGCGGGGTGCAGCATAATGTGAATACATCTGTGGACAGGAAGCTCACTGTAGATGGCCAGCCTGGTCTACATGGTGAGAGCCATGACACCGAGGACTGCCACACAGCCAGTCTCAGGAGTCAAAACAGAAAGAAGGAAAAGAACGAAAAGAAAAAAGGTAAATTGCTTTGGAAGAATCACCCACAGGATCAAGAATAAAAAGAACTTTAAAGAGTCCACCAGGTGTGGTGATGGCGCATGCCTTTCACCCCAGCACTCAGGAGGCAGAGGCAGAGGATCTCTGAGTTCAAGGCCAGCTCAGTCTACAGTGCGAGTTCCAGGACAGCCTGGGCTGTTACACACAGAAACTATATCTGTGGGGTTGGGGGACAGACCCAGACTGACTTACAGGCTGGGTAGTGGCCCACTCCTTTATCCCAGAACACAGGAGGCAGGAGACAGATCTCTTGAGTTCAAGGCCAGTCTGATCTAGAGTTCCGAGTCAGCTAGGCCTACAAAGTCACTGCCTCCAAGGCGGGGGTGAGGGAGCATGATGTTAACTCACTATTTCTGTGGGGCAGCATACCTTTCTTAATGGGTGGTCACTTTGGGCTTCTGTCCTTCAGAGCTTGCCGCCCCCTTAGCTTCAGGGTTGAGAGCAGAAGTTGCTTTACCCATACCCTCCTATTTTTATTGCTGTGGTACTTGGATCCAAGGTCTGCCACAACAAATGATCTCTCTTAATTCACTATCAGCCTGGTCTACAGTGAGACCCTGTCTCAAACAAAACAAAATGAAAACCACTCAACTTTAGGGGCTGGAGAGATGGCTCTGTGGTAAAGAGCAATATTGTTCTTTCCTCCCACCACCCACATTTGGCAGCTCATAATCCGCCTGAACTCCAGCTCTAGGGGATCTGACACCTTTTATACACACATATACACATGCATGTACATAATTAAAAGTAGTAAAATAAGCTCTTAAAACACTTTACAGTTCAATTTTCACGCCAAGTATGGTGGCATCTACCTCTAGTCCCAGCATCCAGGAGGCAGAGGTAGGATGCCGCCATAAACTCCAGGCCTGCCTAGGACACACAGTAAATGCCAGGCTAGTTTGGGCTATACAAGGATCCTGTCTCAAGAGACTGAATAAATACAATAAAAAATAAAATGTAAATCCAACTTCCAGTGGGGGAAACAACAGAGAGCAACACAACATAGTAAGAGATATTTCCGTTAGCACCCCAACAATACAGGGTAGGATAAATTACCAGAAATTACATGATTAAAATAAACCAATGCACAGAAAAAATTCTTTTGCTAAGAGTTTGGAAAGAAACGCTGGTTTGCTTTACTGTCTACTCAGCACACATCTGAATACGCAGTGAAGAGTAACTAGGCAAACTTACTATCTTTTTGCTTGGTTTTTTTGAGTCTTTGAAACGGGGTTTCTGTGTTCCTGACTGTCCTAGAACTCGCTCTGTAGCCCAGGCTGGCCTTGAACTTACAGAGATCTGCCTGTCTCTGCCTCCCAAGTGCTGGCATTAAAGGTGTACGCCACCACCGCCCTGCACAGATCAACTGAATTCCACCCACTTTCCGTTCAGAAGCAATCCAATCTGTGCTTCAGTGTAAATGCTGAAAAGATGTCATTTACCACCGACATGTGAGTATCTGTAAATTTCCAGTTACTGATACTGAGTTTTTGTTATTTTAATTTCTAAGACAAATATAGCTAACATTCCCTGCTGCAAACAATGCCCACCACTTCTTCAAAACTAGAACTTGACTAACAATCCAACTCCTTGGTCACTAAGTTAACATTCAGTCTAGCTTTTAAATTTGCAAGAGGTCCCCAGGCCAAAAGCTGAACAAGAAACTGCATTCATCATCTACTCAGCTGTGGCATTCCCCTTAAATGCAGTGAATGGTGGCAGGATCTGTGTACTTACAATGCACCTGGAACCTGCAGGGCAGGCTCTTAGCAGAGTTCACTTCTAAACTACCCAATGACGTCATCATCTGCTCCTCCCATAGCCACCCATTCTACAAGCGGTTCTAGTTCACGCCACTTAGGAGGCTTGCTTTCACCATCATTAGGATTTCAATTCTAGTTTTCTGTGTTTTGTTTTCTGAGACTGGGTTTTCTCTGGTGTAGTCCTGACTGTCCTGGAACTCTGTAGACCAGGCTGGCCTTCAACTTAAGAGCTCTTCCTGCCTCTGCCTCCGAAGCTCAATTAAAATCGTACGCCCACGCCCAGCAATATTTCAATTCTGAACGTTCAATAACCTAAGCCACCAGGAAATACATCTGAAACCCTTCTCACAATTGATCTTTCACAATAATTTGTACACACTGAGATTAGATGGGAACACATGGCCTAAACGGTAACGAAGGGACAACATCCTTCAGTCCTAAGGTCCAAACTGAAACAATTTGGGGGCGGGGGGGGCGGGGGGGGGGCGCGGAGAGACATAAACTCACTATGCAGCCTAGTTGGTTTGCAAGTATGGAGACCAGGCTCCCTCGAACTCAAAGATCTACCTGCCTCTGACTTCTGACTTAAATCCGGGACACTGGGCTTAAATCTAAAGACCAGAAAGGGACCACTGAATTTGGTAAAGGCGGGTGTTTAACTAGAAACTTTGGTTCACATGACTAGGGCTACATTAACTGCCAAATATGGACAAGAAATTACTATCCTCATCTATTCCAGTGCGTCCTTTTAACTGTAGTTAATGGTTCCATGATCCTGGTACTAGCAACAAACGAGGTATGGTGTCTTGAATCTAAAAACCAGAAACCTCAACTCAAGTTAATAAATAGCACAACAATCATACCCGGAGGGAGGGCGGCAATTTTCCTTGATTCAGCTTTGGTGCACGTGTTTTGTTTTTAAGGAGGCAAAAGGCAGCTCCTTATACAGTCGACTCAAAACCAGTTATAGCTTAGGAGTATAAAAATTGTGAACACAACCCTATAACCCCAAAGCAACATAGAGACACCTGAAGAAATCTGCTCTTAAGAGACCCAAGAAAACCTCGATCAAATTCCACTAACAAAATCCACACCATCTAGGGAAACTTACATCCTTCTCCCCTCACCCTCTTCAAAAATATCATGGGGGGGAGAGAAATACCCATTCCCAAAGCACTCAAACGTCTTTTTTATTCCTGGACAACTGGAGATCGCCTGCAGAAAAAGGACGAAGGAGACTCGCTCGTTACAGCCCTAGTATCAGAACATGTTCGGGATAATGGGGGGAGGAGGGGGGGGGGCCTCCGAGCACCCGGCAAGCGGAGCGGCGGCCACCTTCAACCCCGGATTCAGTTTCCGGGCACAGAAATGGTGCCCGGAGGCCGCTACTTTCGCATCTGCGTCGCTTCTGCCTCCGCCGCCGACACGGCCTCCCTTCCCCTCCCCCACGGGCGGGGCGACGACCGGGAACCAGGGCCGCAAACAAGCGGGGGGCCCGGCGGGGGTGGGCTTCTCACCCTGAAACCACCTCTGCAGAAGCCCACTGCCCCGCTCCGCGGCGTGGCGCCCGATCGGCGCGCTCCCGGGGGCTGCGGCGGATGGGGTCCCGCCGAGCAGCCTCAGCCTAGCAAGCCCCGGCCCCACCTGTGCCCTCCTCTGCACCACGCGCGCGGGTCATCGCCCTCCCCACGCAGCCTCCCGCTCACCTTGCAGGAAAAGGGCTCGGCTCCGCACACACGCAAACGCACTCTCGCTGGCGTAGGCAGCCGCCGAGAACAATGTTTCTGCCGCAGCAGCAGCAGCAGCAGCACCACCACCACCACCACCACCACCACCACCACCCAGGACACCGAGCGCACACAACTGGACGGTTGCCGCGAGCCGCGGAGCGGAGCGAAATGTCCCCTGCCGACCACCACACCGACCGCCCCTCTCGGCCCCCGTACACACCTCCAACCAACAGCGGCGGCGGGCACGTCGCGCGGAGGTCAGGCGTGTCGCGGGATCGGCCGCGGCAGAGTCTCCTCCCTCAACAAGCCTGCGGCTTCGGGATCGGCGGAGAGCGGCGAGCTCGGGCCCCTCAACGCCACCTCGTCCCCGGAGCCTGGGCGCTGCTGCAGCGAGCTACAAGACCACGGACGTCCCGCCCCCTTCGCCGCCGCCCCCTCTTATTGTTTTACCCCTGCCGAAAGGGCCGGGGAACCCCCCAGAACAAGGCCAGCCAATCAGGCATCACTTTGGAGAGCTGGACCCAACCTTCTCGCGTCCCTTCTGCGGAGCACGCGCAGAACGGCGCCGCGCTCGCGCACCCGGGCGTCCGGAAAGCCGGGGAAGCGGAACCGGCCTCGAGCCCGGGGCGAGGGCCCGCTGCCTTGACGTCACAAGGAAGCCGCCTGTCTCGGGCCGTGATGCTGGAGCCTCCCTTGCCCCTTTCGGGTGGCGCGAACGAGAAAGCTGGCTCCCCGCTGAGCGGTATCTTTTACAAAAGGATGTTGTTCCGGGTGCCTTTATTCGGGTGCTGAGAGGGAGGGGATTTAGTCATGTCCCTAGACTAGGTGTCTGCAGGTTTGCTGCCTTAGAGGAGAATTAAAAGGCAGTTTTCAACTCTGGACTGTAAGCACACCTATACTGCTTAGGAGCCTGTTCTATGAAACGGAGGTTTTAATCTTTCCAAGTCAGTGGCATCCAGCTAGTTTAAAAGGGTGCTGAGCCGAGGAGTATGGAAAAAATACGACATGGGCTGTATAGATTTGTGTCTTTTGTATAGCCTTGGTGGTTTCATCCTTAAATAGAACTAAGCATTTACAAGCGAAGGCTCAAAGGCTTGAAATTAAAAAAAAAAAAAAAAAAAAGTCACTATTACAGATTTAGGCCTCTGGGACTTAGTCATGGACACTATACTGCCTCATGGACCTTGACTCATGGGAAAAAGAACCTCTGTAGACAAGATGTTACTTTACCACGTATAGATCTGGCAGTGTTTTCAATATTAAGAGAGTGGAAGAAATTGGGAATGAAGATAGGAAATGGTGATAAGGCACAGAAGGGCAATTGGAAGAGAATAGAAACATCTGAACCAAGCACAAATGCATCATCAGTTTCCCCTCACAGTCCTATAATGGCGATTTCATTGTATTTCCTAAAAGCAAAAAAGGTTCACAAACGGCCATGCTGGTATTTGAGCCTCCAAAATCTACACTGGCTTTACTTTGGATTGCTTAATAATTTTATATGCAAAATTTATGGGCAGGCCATCACTTATTAAATGAATCTGAAATGGTTTTCCTTAATGCACTACATATGCAGATTACCCTTCAAGTCCCAGGCACTCCTCTGATTATTACATGAAATCACTTATGTCTCACAAAAACCCAAAGTAGTTACCTATTTGAATGCACACTTTACAGATGAGGAAAGTAAGGCTTATGAGGTCTATTTCCCAAGGACACACACTTATTACTCATCTCCGCCAGTCATGGAGGGGCACGCCTATAATACCAGCACCTGGGAAGCAGAGGCAGGGGGGATCACTACAAGTTCTAGACCAACCTGGTCTACAAAGCAAGTTCCAGGCCAGCCAAGGCTACATGAGGAGCCTGTGTCAATCATAAATGTGATGATTCCTCGCTTCAACAGAGCAGTCTGCATTCACAGCCCACACTCTTTAATTGTGAACTACAGAACACTGCTATTATTAACTGCTAATAGTTCAACTGTTTCCAGCTACATCTAGTGCTTTTTTTGTTTTGTTTTGTTTTTGATGTGTAAAGGTAAGGTTTCTCTGTGTAGCCCTGGCTGTCCTGGAACTCACTCTCTAGATCATGATCACGCTGGCCACAAACTCAGAGATGGGCCTGCCTTGGCCTTCCAGGTACTGGGATTTAAGGTGTGTGGTACCATTCTAGGCTCCATGCAGTGTTTTTATAAGTATTCTTTATCTGGTAACCTGGAGTAAATATGGAAGATCTTGAGAGTGGGTGCCGGGCGGTAGTGGTGCATGCCTTAAATTCCAGCACTTGAGAGGCAGAGCCAGGCGGATCTCTGTGAGTTCAAGGCCAGCCTGGTCTACAGAGTGAGTTCCAGGAAAGGTGCAAAGCTACACAGAGAAACCCTGTCTCGAAAAGAAAAGAAAAAAGAAAAGAGAGTGGGTCTCAGACCTTAATGTTCATCTGAATCAGATCTGGGCTTGTTAAACCACCCCCCAGCCTTTCTGACTCTGCAGGTGTGTGAGGAAGCCAGAGATTTGCATTTCTCACAAGTGCCCAGGGGATTCTGCTGCTGGTGCTCTAGGAACCCACATTACCACTACTGCTATGGCAGAGGCTGGCAGACTTCACCAAAGAATCTGCTGCTGTCTTCATCTCCCCTCCTTTTATAATCCTTCAAAGCATAAAAAAAAATTCTCAGCTTAGCTCTAGGCCTGTACAAAAGCAGGCCTCAGGAACCCGCGCCATTAACCACTGCCAATAAATGGTTACTGCTTTAAAAAAAAAAAAGATCCAGCTACCCTCAATTTTAGTAAATTGCTCTAACCAATTCCCACAAGTAGCTAGCATTTGTTATTTCCTACAGTCTCTCTAGTCTGTTCTCTGAATACCTCTGCATTCTGGTAGTCTTTGCCCAGGGTTGGGCCAGGTTCATCTTTCCACGATGTAGTAAGAGCCTAGTTAATCTCTCGGCCTTTCAAAATCACAATGAAGCAACCACTGTCCCCATGGACCAAGCAGGGAGGTCAGTGTGAATGATACTCAGTGAAGAGGCTTGGGCCAAACATCCGTCACCCTTGATTTCACTCTTTTATCAGACCACACACCCAATGTGAGTGCATTTCTGCTCCCTCTGCCTCCGTTTATTCTAGAGTAAACACATCACTGCTTCTGCTACTGTCATGGTTCAGCCCTACTGCCAACCTTTTCTGCCTGGTTGTCATACCTCCACGTAATTCTATTATAGCTCATACCTCTCACAAAAGACAGATCTTTTCTCGTTTTGTTTTGTTTATTTTTCCAGACAGGGTTTCTCTGTGTAGCCCTATTCTGGAACTTGCTCTGCAGACTAGGCTTGGCCTCAAACTCAGAGATCTGCCTGCCTCTACCTCCCCAGTGCTGAGATTAATGGTGTGTGCCTCCACTGCCAGGCTAAAAGCCAGACCTTTCACAGCTACAAATCAGATGGCACTTCCCAAACCTCCTAACGGCAATACTAAATTGTAATTCCTTACCAAGGCCTACTAGGCTTCCCTAATACTATCCTGAACCTATTAATTCTACCTTTCTTCCATTTCTCTCATGCCATCTCAGCTCTACTCATATGCCTAAGTTCCCATTACAAGGTCTCTGATGTGAACCTTTGTCAAAAGTTTGAAGAAGAAAAAAAAAATCAGTAAATTGTTATCTGGTGATTCCCAACAGTATCCAATATTACTATGCCCTTTTCCCTTTGTAATTAATAATCATCTGCTTTGAGGTTATACTTTGAGACTGTGGTAGTTTGAATGAGAAATGTTCCTCCCTCCTAGGGTCATGCATTTGAACACTTAGTCACCAGCTGATGGCGCAGTCTGAAGAGGTTATGGGGATGTGCAGTCTTGCTGGAGGAAATGGTCACCAGGGAGGGCTTGGAGGGTTTATAGCCTCGCCCCAGTTCTAGTTTGCTGACTCTGCCCCTGAAGATGTCATCTCTCAGCTTCCCAACCCTGCCTCCGTGCCTGCTGCCATGCCTGCCTATCACGATGGACTCTGATCCCCCTGGAACCGCAAGCCAGAATAAACTCCTTCTATAGCTTGTATGTGGTCATGGTGTCTTAGCAGAGCAACAGAGAAGTAACAAGTACAGATCCATGCACAGACTCCTATACCTGCACCTACCACTGTGCCTTCTTTGGGGCACCTAGTTTATCTTTGTAAAGGGGGAAAGAGTGCAAGGGTCTGAGCAAAGACTGATAAGGAAAAGAGGAAGTTGAGAACCATGTAGCTATAGCAGGTATGCTGGCACATGACCAATCCCAGCACTCAGAAGGAGAAAGACCATGGGTTGGAGACCGGCCTGGGCTACGTAGAGACCATGTCCTTAAAAAAACAAAAAACAAACAAACAAAAACAAAAAACAAAAAACAAAAAGGCTGGCTCAGTGATTAAGAACACCAGCTTCAGCCGGGTGATGGTGGCGCACACCTTTGATCCCAGCACTCGGGAGGCAGAGCCAGGCGGGTTTCTGTAAATTCCAGGCCAGCCTGGTCTACAGAGCGAGATCCAGGATAGGCACCAAAACTACACAGAGAAACCCTGTCTCAAAAAAATAAAAAAAAATAAAAAAAAAAGAACAGGAGCTTCTCTTCCGGAGGACCTGGGTTTGACTCCCAGCCCACAAATGGTGATTCAGAAGGCAGTGCATATATGTGGTACATTACCACACATGCAGGCAAAACACTAATACAAATAAAATAAAGATAAAAAGCTTTGAAAAAAAATAGCTTCCCCAAACAAAAACTTACACGGATAACTAAACCATGCCAATTAAGTGCATACTGGAGAGAAGTCCAAGGAAGGGGAAGAATGCTCCAGGAGTTTTAGTCTGGACAACACTGAGAAGGTAAGAACAGAACTTCAGTGAATGTTTTCTTAATCCACATAAACAAAAGAAATAAAATATAACATATATGCTACTTCAATCAAAAATGTTCTGATCTAATGCCAGTGTGCAGGCAGGCCTTGGACCCCCAGATCCTAAGAAGACAACAGTTATGGCCGTTCCTTGCCCCATTCTGCTTCAGCTCAGGACACTTTCCACTTCCACCATTATCTACCATCTGGTAGGATCTTCCCTGTAAGGGTTCTGTCTCACCTACTCTGCAATGCTGCATGTCTGCCATGAAACAGAAAATATAAATAATTAACAGGGCTAGGCATACAGCTCAGTAGCAGAGCACCAACCGTGCTATATACAAGACTTTGGATTTGACCCCACCTCCCATTACATAACAACACACACACACACACACACACACACACACACACACACACACACACACACACGGTGTAATCAATGAATAAAAAAATAAAAAATGTTGATACTATTTGGCAGATAGAAATGAGTTATATCTAAGTAGATACATATAAATACATATAATAAATACATTTTAAAGTGATATGTATGAGAGAAAAGGAGTAACGGGATCATATTTATTTCCCTTAAACCATATAAGCTGGCCATTGTTTTCCATTAGTACATAAATAAACTTAATTTTTCCCAATGGCTAGGCAGGTTAGCTTAGGTAATCAAATAAATTAGAAAATTAGGATATAACCAAAGTAAAGCTAAATATTTGCACATTTTTGCCACAAATGTCAATCATGGGACTAATAAAACTTAATGAGAAACCAACATGAACATCTAATTGATAAGAAACAAAAACATAATCAGCCATATAAAAGGATGTGGGGGGGGGAGTACATAGTATTAGTCAAACCTATGGGGAGAATTCAAGACGAATTCATCCCTTAAAAAATAAAAATAAGTGGGCGGTGGGGGCGCACGCCTTTAATCCCAGCACT